GTCACTGCGTCCGAAAAGAAATATTCTTCTCTTAGAGCAAATCTGTCTTGATCTACGTTGTTTTCTCATGCTGCATCCCGGAGTCTTTACTTTACACGTAATCATTTACATATTGTCAAAGAATGTGTTCAATATAAACATCTTATAAATGCTAGCCATAAGTCTTTGGCTAACCTGAGTACGGTCAAAGTTTTTGCTGCATGGAATACCCCATGGATTCATAGATCTGCAAGTGCCGCGCTGATTGGGGTTCTCATAGGAATCGAATATTCCTGAGGGCAAATTGAACCTTCAAAACGAGCAGTCCCAAATCAAGTACAAGGAGGAAAGTGAGAAAAAGGAGAACGCACCTTCTTTCCCCACAGTCTAATAGAATGTGAACTTACCTCATTTCGCCAAGTCCAGCGCTGGCGACAGGCTGAGTAAATACCTAAAGACTGCTGCCAAAAGGGGAGCACATAGTAGATAACAAAACCGTTGAATTATGAAATCGTCGTTGATTAATGGTGTAACAGGGAAGAGTGGCAGGCGACTCGCATATAACCTACTCAATTACAGGAAGGTCGTGCCACTAGACAAAAAGTACATGTAAATAAGAAAATAAGCAAAGTGAGGTAAAGATTAACACAGAGTTTAGTGTTTGCTATACAACTGGAATCTGGCATAAACTGGAATATATCAAATATTCTGATATCTAATATGATAACTCATACGACATATTGCGTAGAAACGAATCCTATGTCACTACTTTTGTAAGCAACTGTAACATTTACCGCTGAATGTGCACACCATGATGATGTTCTTACATATCTTTGCTGTGCAGCAACGAACACTTGACGGCGCAGAGTACCGTGAAACCAAGTTACTAATATATTAAGCGTCGCTAACGCTTGCAGACGCATGAATCCATGTTCATTTGGTTTTCAGTGACATCAAAGCAATACGGGCGATACCAGTCAATGGACTTGTTATTGGTAACAAGTGGCATAGAGGGTGAACTTTCATGATCGGCGCTAACCTTGGAAGAGTTAACATCACCTGCGATGATCGATGATTTGTTGTTATACAAATAAGCCAGCCACCAGATGAAGACGTTCATAGAACTGCTTCTTCTCGAGGTCATGTGCAACATTGGTGATGGGGTGGGGGGGGG